GGTGACGCAACAGAGTTATATTTTTTGTTATGGAACACCCAGTATATTATGCGCTTATTTGAAGGAGTTTTCAATTTTTAAAATATCCATATTAGGTTTTATGGGTCTATCATGGACCGTTTATCAATTATGGGCAATTTTATTAAAAAAAGTATATAGTTAACAATTTTTTTCAGATTTGGTCTTTTCATTCCTAGTAATAGATAGTTTTTATTAGGTATTTCTTATAATAATATTGTTTATTTAATTCTGCCATTTAAAACGGCATTTACTTGTTATCTTAGTAAATAAATAACTAATTAAGCATTAATTTTAATTTTCTAAATTTAATTTTAATTTTAATAAGTTGTGAATTTTTTAAAATAATTTGTTTTTTTTTTCTCAATTGAAAGTAAAATCGGTAACTGAGCTTCACTTCAAACTAAATATACTGTTAAAAAATAACGTTTACAATGGAAAAGATTTATTAATGAAAAAATATTTACATTTATTATTTGACATTTGACATTTTTTCATGTCTATTTAACGATACTGATGTTCTTGTATATGTTTTTTTTTTAATTATTTTGGAAAGGTACAAAAATTTTGCCTATAAATGCATAAATATGCATAAATAACATTAAAAAGAGTTAGAATTTAGGATACAGCTTCCTTGATTCCCCTTCTAATACCTTGTAGCAAAAAAACTTAAAAACTTAGAAATTATTTTTCCAACAGAAATAAATAGTCAAAGTGCAAAATTTAACCTCTCATAACTTCGAAATTTTTATAGGTAAAATTTTTTTAACATTTTTTCCATGTTCATGGTATCTTATTTTATTATTATTTTTCTCTGGGGCGCGATTTCTGGCGCAGCCTGTATAAGGGTCTGAGCGGTTTATTAGGAGGACAATCTTTTCTACGCTAATTGTACATGCGGTAGGTATAATTCTACAGCGTGAAGTTTTAATATTGAAGTTCGAAGCGAAGCTGCCACATAAAAGGCACTTTACTCTAGAGAAAAATAGTTTTTTATGAAAATTCTTAAGAATACTTGATTTTTCAAAAATTAAAATTATGTTAGAAATTAATCTTTAACCAAGCAGGGCTAAACTCCAAAACATTAAAATTTTAATCGAAATCTTTTTATCTTTTACAAGAGTCGTTTCACCTATCCGGGGACACACTGTAATCAGCTTCGTGATTGTGATAGTGTACAGGGTGCTGCATTTTGGATGGCGAATAGGGAATCTTCTTCGAACCTAAGAAGTTTAGCCAATTTTTGAGAAAATCATAATATTGTCCGCTATCGTTTTTTGTTTTCGATTTATAAACAAAAGTTGACATTATAGCGAAATCTAAAAAAATTCATATATTTGTTGTTATAGAAGATACGGATTTGAAATAAAAACATTACACAGGCACTTTTTTACGTAAAATTTTGGATTTGCATTTTGGATGGCGAATAGGGAATCTTCGAACCTAAGAAGTTTAGCCAATTTTTGAGAAAATCATAATATTGTCCGCTATCGTTTTTTGTTTTCGATTTATAAACAAAAGTTGACATTATAGCGAAATCTAAAAAAATTCATATATTTGTTGTTATAGAAGATACGGATTTGAAATAAAAACATTACACAGGCACTTTTTTACGTAAAATTTWTTAATGTAGTTAACAATTTTTTTCAGTTATTTGTTTAGCCGAAATAAGATAAACTTGTATTTTTTTAATGGGAATAGGTGGCTATGACATTTTTAAAAAGCTTGTTTTTTTTCTTATCTAAAAAATATATATTTGTAACCGAATATTATAATACGAAACCTGAAAATGGTAAATTGCAGTGGCGGCGCAGAAACTAATATCCGAGTATTTGTAATAGGTAACCGGAGGTTGGTTTTTAATTTGAACATGGCTAATTGTTTTGACTAGAATTATGGTCGGAAACATTCTAATTCAAGTAAATCTTAAATTCCTTAAACTAATAATTTTAATCTTTCCGACTTTGCCACATTTTCTTAATAAGAGACATCCTGCAATTGTTGGTTTTATTTTAGTCATTTTGGGGATAGTTCTACCCATCCCTCTGTTAGGTGTGACCACGATGTAGTAAAGATGGTGGTTCGACTCTAAGGCAAATTTGTCAACCACTTTGAATCCACCTATGTACTAGTTAAAGGGTATCCCGTCAGATGGTGCCACCGTCGACTCAAATTATTATTAGAATAAGAAAAAGTAAATTGTCTTTACAGAATGGCTACTTTTATTAATAGTATATTATTCAGMWGTTTATTWAAACAATTTCTAGTGTAATTTTTTTWAATTGTGTTCATTGYCAGCCACGTCGGTAACGCAGGCATCTGATGAGTTTTTGTATTTGACATKTTCAATTTGRTTTWCGAAAATTCAAGTTATAATTGAAGTTTGACTGCTTTCGAGCGTTTGTTTAGTGGTTCCGTTTGTGTTATTTTTATTTATTAAAAAGAAACTAACTTTTTGCGTTAGTGCCACCTGCCGGATTACGCGCGAAATAGATCATAGTTAAATCACAATCACCATGACAACGTTAGCAAAGCGAGTTGAAAAATTTCATTCATAAAAAGGCAGAGTCGAACCAAAGTCTTTATAATGGGAGGTTGTCTGGTAACGCTTAGCCAATAGCCGCTTAGCGCGCGAACTACGTCACCCAGTATGCTCGTTTAAATCGTCATATGCGCTGCATAGTACTGTTACATGCAGGAAAAGCTTTTCGTGATATTAAAACACAATAAGTAGATTGTTTTTATATAAATGCTTTATTTTTATGATTACAAATGAATGATTAAACAAATACAGACAGGTCCGCAATGACATTTATGACGTACCCGAACTCTGTTGTGAAGCCTCCTCTCTATTGTCAATGCATTAACAGCCACATCATCCCAAACTTGGTTATAAATTGCCGAATTCCCAATTTTCAATATTAAAATCTTAATTAGGTACTCAAAATCGTATCAACTTTTACATTATTCAGTTTTCATAATTACCATTAAAAAAATCAAGGAATTTTACCATGTAGAAAAGAGCCGCCATAGCAGCGGGTAACCAAGAAGAAAAAGGAATTTGAGCTCTTTTAGTTAAAGCAGCTAACACAACCAATTTTTTTTCCAAATTTAGTTTTTATGGTCTCACTGACATACACAACAATATCAAATTCTAAATTGTCTATATAATCCTCCATCGTTTGCACTAGCAAAAATTTTTTTTAATCAATTAGAAATATTTATTTTTGGGCCGGCCCTAAAATTTGGGCTTTTTATGGCAATTAATACACAAGTGAAAAGCTGAGGATAGTCACAGTCTGTCATAGTCACCGGCGTCCCAGCATACTGGGTGACGCCACGCTGCAGCGCACTGTATTACCGATACTGTTACCAGGCAACCTCCCATTATAAAGACTTTGGAGTCGAACCACCATCTTAACTACATCGTGGGTGTGACGAAAAAACTATTGTTTTAATGAAGGGAAAAAGTGTACAAAATTAGGCTTTACAATACTACAATAATAATTTTAGTGTAATTTGTCAAAATTTTTCGCCTCAGTGGACATAGCCAAATTTTCGGAAATTATACAAAAATTTTAAATTTTATAAAAAAGGACATCTTACAATAGTGTGAAGTTAAGTGGTGTTGTACGGTGCAAAAATGTCGTACTTCAAAACTGTACACTATTAGTGGTGATGAAAAGGAAAGATTTATTTCCAAGTGCACAATGGGGTACTATACTATAAAAAAAAAGAAAGCAAAATTTAAGTTTATATTTTTCTTCGTTGTTAAATAGCAACATAACTAAAAATCGATTTTCAATTAAGCTGTATTTTTTTAAATAAATGAGATTTAAACAAGTGGTTTTTGATCCACTACATTTAAACGGTATTACAATGCGCGTTTGATGACGTCGGGCCTCCCCGTCCAATCAGCAAACGCAGCGCTATTTTGTCTCTCTTACTGACGACTTTCTTCCATCGCATCGCAGACTGGAGCTTGGGTTAGAGCTGTCGGTTTTGGCTGATTTTGCCCGTTCGTCAGGGTCTGCTCACGTCATCCCTTGGCGCAAACATGATGTGTTTGAAAGTGTGTTTATTTTGCACCAACTTCAACATTTTTTTTCGCCTTGAATGCACGCTTTCGCAAAAAACAAAAAACACGGGTATATTATTTTTTTATGTAGATTTAACTTAGACAATAAAAAAAAATATAGTATAGTACCCCATTGAACACAATCACGAAGCTAATACTCGTACAGTGTGTTCCCGGATAGATGAAATGACTCTTTGGGAGCGGTTATAACATTACGACTAATTGCACAATTATTACTTTGCTCAGTTGACCGCTCCTAAAGCTTTAATAAATTTTAAAATTTTATGAGTTAACAAATGTTTTTCTCTGTCCGAAATAAATATTTTTTACTTTTTAAAGCATTTTTTTTAATAAAACGTCATTGTTATAAAATATTTTTCCTCTATTTTTGCATATCTATTTAATATTACTGATGATCTTGTGTATGTTTTTACATAATTAATTGGTAAAGGTACAAAAATTTTGCCAATAAAAGCGACAAACAACGTTAAACATTGTTACAATATAGAATACAGCGATAAATTTTTTTTACCATTTTTCCCATGTTCCTGGTATCTTACCTTACACAACATTTTTCTCTGAGGCGCGAGTTCTGAAACACTCTGTTTAACGCCAACCCAAAATATTGTGTGTAAGAATTACTTATAATGACGACAATATTTTTGGATCATAGAAAAAAATTAATTTGTATCCAATAGAAACCGTATTTCGTTATTTTCTTTACTGTGAGAGTAATCGAAAAAACACGAAGCTCTAGGACATCTGTATAAACCGGTTTGCTAATGTTTCAATGTTTAAATTAATTTGATATCAGTTTTCTATACATTTCAAAAAATTCCTACATTTTTTTGTATGTGTAAGATCATAAAAACTGTATCAGTGTAAAAATGACAACGAATTTGTATGTTACTTTATAAGCTGTTTATTAACTATATGTTTAGCATAGGAGTACGTTACAAAACTTTATGCCGTACACAAAACGTAAACTATTTTATCAATACTTAAGATACCCATTCTTTTTTTTGTGAAAGTCGATTAAAATGATACCACATATTTTTAAAATATAATTTAAGGCTTACAATTATGTTAATGATTATGACAGTCTAACACATAAATATCAATTTTATAAAATTTTAAACTAATTATATAACATATATCCGCACATAAATATGCTAACAATTAGACATTACAAAATTCAGCCTTGCAGATTGATCACATGAATATGAAAGAGATAAGAGAAATAGTTTATAACAGTATTTGACAATGTTTTTTTATTATGTTGGAGAAATTAGATACATAAATAAAAAAGTTATGTAAATACAACAGTGTTGTACAGTCCGTAAAGGTTTGTGTGACAGACGAATTTTTGTAAACAACTAACAAAATGAAGCTATCGAATGTATTCTTCTTAGAAAGTAAGCTACAAAATACATATGTATTTACATCTATATAATTGTAAAAATTTCAAAATCACAGTGCATCTTGGGATGGTGCTTTTGGATTTTAAATATGTGTCTATTTATACCTAATTATCTATAAATATCATATTTTGTTTAGATATGAAGAAATATGTATTACTAGAGAGAAATGTTTGAGAAATACAAAATCCTCTAATTTACTCTAAAATTCTCCTACATTTAACACTAAAGAGTAATCACGTACTGGTTAAATTTACAATTCAATAAAAGTGAGTAGCTTAATTTATCACTTATGAGTAGCATAAACTAGTAGTAAACACCTCAAAAATCATATATAGCTAATACTGTAATTGATTTCAAAATTAGTAGATTCTATACTACAAAAATAATCTGCCAAAATTGTTTCAAACTAACTGTTCTGATTGAGAATACTGACGGGTGTTTATTTAAATTTGACATCATAGTTGGCGGTGATATAATGTGTTGTGAACAGAACACAATTTTTAATACATCCGGCGATGTGTCAAATGTAGATTAATAACTTTCAATACGATCGTTTGTTCATAATAAAACTTTCATGGATAGCTTTGACGCCAAATTTTGAAAAACACCCTTTATGAAAGGCACATACTATATACAGGCTATTCGAAATTTCTTCCATATCAATTTATCTATGGAATTTCAATTTTATATGCCTATTTATTTACTTTGTAAATGTTGTCATAAATGACAGATATCAAATAAACGCAAAGAAGTTTCAGATTCAATAATGACGAAAGAAATAACAACACCGAACAGGAAAAACCTAAAAGTTGATATACAGTACACCAAAAATGCAAAGGAAAAACATAATGAAGTTTTAATTACAGATTTGCTCGTTTCAGGTAAAGCAAAAAATGTTTTTCCTTTGCAGTTTTAGTATAAAATCAGAGATAAAAAAATTTTTCCTCTTGTAAACTCAATCCGGGAACATACTGTATAAACATTACTAAACAATGTAAAATGTGTAAGAATAAAGCTTAACAGAGATCACAATAAGCAGAAATTACAGTAGTCATTTCAAGGAGATGGCATGTTAAATTGAAATTCTATAGTTGACATAATGCATAAACATTTCTGAACACTCTGCATATACGTCTCTAAATAAAAACAAGACATGTTTTTGTGAGAAGGACGGACTACTGTCAAAAAATACATGCTACAATCAAATGGAATTATTTCTAACAAGGAAAGTGATTATCGTTGACGTATTTACTTCATAAACATATTGGCAAATTAATATTATTGTATTTGTATTGTATTATTATAACATTAATACTCGTATATAAATATAAACGTTTAAAACAAAAAATTGTAACTATTGCGAAAAGTAAATCATTAGCTGTTAGCTTCTGTTATTTTTTTATTGGCAATTTTACTAATTTTTTACAACATTGGTTGCTCTTTACTAGAAATTTTCTATGTACAGGTGTTCCGTTTTCATTGTTACAAATTAAAATAGAAGATAAAATATTTAATTTTAAGACAATAGTAAACATGTTTCAAAAAGTGCTATGTAAGGGAGCTACACCACCTAAAAAAGGTGCGTTTTTTTAAAAGGTTTTCCCAATATTTCAAAATAGATTAAATTACAAAATTTGGTACAGCTGGTACACCAAAACGAATTCCAAGATAAAATGTCTAAATTGTTAATCAGAGATGTCCTAAACGGTACAAGAAATTTAATTTTTAACTTTTATGCTGTTTATGGTCTGTAACATAAATTTTCAAACTGATCTTACTTCAAATCGGTATGTTACATCGGAAAAACGCAAAAGACCTTTAAAAAAATGAAATTTAAAATTTCGTTGCTCAAAGTGGCAAGAGACTACAGTCAAAAATGTTGAGTACTTTTTACCCTAAACTTGACCAGGTTACAAAGGGTCTGATTAAAAATTTCAACATTTTATCTTTGAATTCGTTTAGGTGTATAAAGGTTATCATCTGTATCAAATTTTATAGTTTTATCTAAAATGGTTTCGGAAATATTAGAAAAAACCCATTAAAAATGCACCCCTTTAAGGGGTGTAGCTCTCTTGCGTAGCATTTTTCGATACATGTTCATAAGAAAATTTTGTCTAAAAATTAAATATTCTCCTGTTTAAATTTGTAACAACGAAAACGCAACACCTTGTATATTGTAAATAGACGAAACATTTTAATAATCTAAAATGTTTCATCCAGCATCTCCTACTTTTTGTATCTTTTTAACAAAGAAATTGCAAATGAGCAATACAACTGCCCACTGAAGTGTCTATGCCACCCACTGTGTGGTATGTTAAAATAAAATCATGATTATGAAATATTAATGTCCGTGCAAGGTGGAGATGCTGAATAAAACGTTATGGATTTACATACAGTGAGCTTTTTATATTGATATTGCTAAACATATCCTTAGGTTTAATTAAAAAAAAAAACAAGTCAATCCAGTGGATGTCATTTAATGATCTCTAAGTAAACACGCGACCACCGGTACAGAAAAACATTTCCGTAATGAAAGCATCTTTAACTGGCTGTAGGGCTGAAATCGTTGAAGATAGAGCTATAGTGTGGCGGACTTTTTTAAAGCAACTTAAAGTAACTTTTTGTTAAATAAAGCAATGTTTTTTATTTGCCAAACTATTTAGATACACCTCCAATGTTATTTAATTGGAATGCTACGGTAAATCCATATTGTCAATATGATTAAGTGGAAGAAACTATACAACATATTGTTGCAGAGTTTTCAAGGAGAATTCACTGAAATTCAAGTTGTCGTCAGAAGCTAATACTTGGTTGTCTGCTTTCAAAGCTTTATAACTTCATTTATGTACTTTATTTTTATTTATTGTCATACGAATATATTGTATATTGAATAACACCAATGGATGGACTTGTTTTTTTTTAATTGAAATTGAACATGGAGCTACGTTCAGCAATATAAAAAACTCACTATATAACCTGAATGCATCTCGTGAATACTCTTTCTTGGGTGAGTAACATGCAACATAGCCCACATGTACTAACTGTATTAATTACTATGTTATTAATAACTGCTAATAATCGTAATAACTAAGATTTTCAATTTGGATAAAAGAAAAAAGTTAAGTACATTGAATTTGGAGCAGCGTAAAAACGTGTGCATTTCTACTATGTGACCAATTGCGGTCATCACTTGGCTTGCGACAATAATAAATATAAGAAGTCGATCAAAACAATAAAACGTTTTGCTATAATTTTAAAACATGCTGGTCATCATTGAGCCTAATACTGTCTGGAATTAAAACTGTACTGTCTAGCATTTGAAATTAGTTCTCTAGTTTCTGAAGGAGTCCCAGGACTCAAACTGGCGGTGGTAGTGGTTGATATAGTCTCTTTATTTTCAAGCGGTTTACTTTCATCTGTAATTTTCTCAAATACGTCTTCTTCAACAATTTTTTCTAAGTAAGCATCCCCATTTTGTATGGAAATTGGAGCGTTTTTGGTGTGTGGTGAATGAATTGGCGTAACGTCGATAATGCCTCGATCTATGTCTTCTCGTTTTTTCTCAAGAATTCGTCTGGTATTTTTCGTCGTTAAACAACCAGTTTCAAGATCTCTTTCTAATCGATGACCACTTCTAGATCTCGTTAACTGCCTCGAAACATATTCGTTGAGATCTTCTTCTTCGCGTCGAGACATGACTCTGTTGAGTGCAATAAGGAAAATTCCCAACGCGGCGACAAAAATTCCAGTCGCTAGTAGTTCATTCCACCAACCGCCTCCTCTCCATGTGACCATATCGTCTGGAAGCAGTCCTGATCCAATGAGGAAAAGACCAAACACTAAGAAGCACACTCCAATGTGAAGCATACCAATGGAAGTAGCCAGACGATGATCCGGAGGTGCGTTATGAGGAATTTTCTTGGTTGGCAAATGCTCCATGCTGTCCATGCTGCTGGTGTGTGAAGACAAGCGTCTCTCGCGCTTGCGTTTGGCTTGTTCTCGCAGTCTTCTTTGGCGCTTGATGGCCATAGCAGAGTGGAGGCCTGCAGTACCATGCATCTGGAATCCAGGAGTAAATCAATCTTCTTGCATGCACTGCACAACACTGCACACAGCACCGTACTCTCACTGCACTGTACGCAGTGCAGTTTTGGGCAACAAGCACTCCAAAAAGTAAAGTCCCTCTGATTGTAACGATTCATCTAAAACAGTCTTTGGGTTACAATTTTGGCAAAAGGTTCAACTGAAATCAAACATTAGGGTTCAGAGTACAAATAATTTTGAAGTTTAGAAGGCAATCAAAAATTATTTATAAAGACCCGGATTTGTAAAATCCACTTGTTTGTATGTAAAAAATAATTATGTAATTAAAACTTAACAAAGTTTAATGGGTTTAACAAAACCTGTTAAAAATCTAAGATATATATTACCTACCAAAAAGATTGTTTATACATCAAGGGACATTACTTTTCATAACTAAATTTCTAGGTAGGAAAAATAATAAAAATACATGGTGTTTCAAAACAGTCGGCCAATCTTGTATACAGTGATAGAAAACTTTAGTAGAAGCTCTGTTTCTGTTTCTAAGCCGCGTGATTTTGAAAATACGAATATTTAAAGATAATGCAATTGGGAACGCTACAGTACATTTTAAACCACATTGTGTTACTATAAAACCCAATAAATTTTTGACGTGCTGTTGTCAACTTTTAATAGTTTAGGTACATGTTTTAACGTCTCTTACTAATACAACACTTTTGTGTTCTAATAATAATAAAAACTTAATAGGAAGTTGCATTTTTGAGGAGTTATATCTACCTAAGGATAGTTTCTACATTTTTTTGTTGGAAATTTTGAGAATAATGCGATGGTTCTAAAAACCATCCGAGTAATTTTTGTCCCTTTCGAACAATGCTGTATTTATCCAAGATGGTTATTTTGAAAAAAACTGACCCTTTTGGTCTAATAGTATATTTCATGTTGAGTGTTGAAAGTGAGTGATATTATGCGCGTGCATTTAAACGAACGAGGCGAAGCCGAGTTTGGATAAAGAAACACAAGCATGATAGTTACTTTCGACTCAAGTTGTAAACACTATTTTTTAGACGACTTGAACAAAAAAAATAAACATTTTTTTATCCATACAATGTTTAAAAACAAACTACGCCATTTTTCAATTAAACCGTGTTGGCCGCGAGTTGCTATGGATTCTTTACTGTTTTGAAAATTTTATTGTTTCGCTAGTTCCGTCATTCAATTTCAAGTGAATTAGTAAATTTCTTAAAAGAAGTGGTAAAAATAGATGTCGAAAATGACGACGATATTTTCCAAGCCACCTCCGCCAATTCTTGAGGTCGCGACTGAGAGAGAACACATTGGATTACAGCCATAAGAAATTGGTATGACTATTCAATTCACCTCTTTTTTAAAATATTAACCAACAAAGAAGCACATACATATTTACTTTCGTATCCTAGCAACAGCAAATTCAAGCAAATATTTCACTCGTGGTAAAATATAAATGGTTATTCCACTCGTGGTTGCAGTGAACTTGATTATTTACCGGTTGCTATGAAAATGAAATCAAGTGTAAGGCAAATTTGGTTCATTGAATACTCTGTTGAATACAATTCGTAGTCAAAGATTTTAGAATATTTTTATTGATGGTCATTACGCTTGCGAACACCATTTGTGCTACTCACTCATGGTGTTCATAAAGCGATGAGCATTCATAAAAATATTCGATAACACTGGTCAACAAATTTGAACAAATTTTCGGTAACATTGATTAAACTACCTTCCACGTTTATGATTTTTCATTCTGATTTCGAAAATTTTCACAAAAATGTCTCATCACGTATCATTCGTATGTTACCAACTTCGTTCTGACATCCATGTTAAAGCAAAAAAGTACTGAAAATAATTCAACTATTTAATTTATTTTATTATGAGCATACAATATTTTAATAAACTAACTTTAGAAACATTAAAAAAGTCATATATTACAATAAAATAGCGAAATCTCAACATTTTCTTTTGTTAGGTACGTTACTGTCGCGTTTTAAAAAGGCTAACAGTAATCGCCCATCATGGAAGGGTTCCAGCGGCCTTGATAGCGTTCTTTCATCTTTCTGATGTCTTGGTGAAACCTCTCCCCTTGTTCGTCACTGACAGCCCCCAGATTTGTTGGAAAAAAATCCAAGTGAAAGTGCAGAAAATATATTAATTAAATTATTGGTAAAAAATGCAACAAATCAACGGTACGTGTTATCAAAAAACTAAATGCATTTTGTTATTTAGGAAGTAAAAAAAACTATTATTGGCCAAATTGTCATCAATGTTACCAAACCCTTGTTGATCTGTGTAATTTTTGACTACTCGTTCTATTATAACTGAAAATCGTCCACTAGAATATTACGATGGATTACCCCCCATGGTGGTTCATGGGGCTTGCGGGAGAGATGCCATAAACAAATTTGCACGTTTCAAAGGTTTGTAGGAAGAGGTGGTCCGTAACAGAAATTTGTTTTTGGGCTTTCATCAAAAACAAATAATAGTATATTATACAACGAGCGTATAATGATGGTTGTTATTATTATAAATCACCGAGTGAATAATAATCATTATACGCGAGTAGTATACTATACTTTATCCACGACTACTAAATATTTTTGTTGAAGCTTTTTTGTTGGAAAATTTCGTTACTTTAAGTATGTTAAGAAACAGATATACGACACACCCATTCGAAGTTGGTAATGGCTCTGTGTCGATGCTGGTTGCCTTCCAACCGCGAGTCCCGGATTCGAATGTGGCCAAGGAAAATTATTTTTTTATTTTTTTTTATATGTACAGAAATGAATTGAAAATATTTAGTGGTTTACACGATCAAATTTTAAAAACCAATAATTGTTTGTAGCAAAACAATATAATATTATAGCTAAATCAAGGAAGCTTCTGACAGCAGTGATTAATGAGAGTGATTAATGGGTATTATTAAGATCGAGCAAATAGACGTATAAGGGGTACATTATACAATAGTCGTGGATAATAGTATATTACACAACGAGCGTATAATAACCATTATACGCGAGTAGTATACTATACTTTATCCACGACTACTAAATATTTTTGTTGAAGCTTTTGTGTTGGAAAATTTTCTTACATTAAGTATGTTAAGAAACAGATAAACGACACACACATTCGAACAGTACAGAACTGAATTGAAAATGTTTAGTGGTTTACACGATAAAATTTAAAAAACCAATAATCGTTTGTAGCAAAACAATATAATATTATAGCTAAATCAAGGAAGCTTCTGACAGCAGTGCATTAATCACTGCCGCGATTAATAGGTATCAACGGGCATTAACCACGGCAGTGATTAATGAGTCATTAATCACTGCTGTGATTAATGGTTATTATTAAGATCGAGCAAACAGACGTATAAGGGGTACATTATACAATAGTCGTTAATAAATTAATTTTAATATTTAGCTATATTTTGAGAATGTTTCTTTACAAATGAACTGATTTGCATTATCACTTTAATATTAAATTAATATATAAATTGCCAAATTTAAGCCTGTAATAAATTAAAAGCCTTCCAAAAAAAGTCCTGAATACTTCATAAGTAATTATAAAGTGATTGTGGATTTTGTGATTTTGTTGTTTATTTGGTAACTAAAGCACCCGAGTCATAGGTATACGTAATACGTGCGTTAATAATGACTTAATTATTTCATTTATATCGTAAATAGGTAACTATTACAAACATTAAAATAAATCACGAGAAAAAATTAAAGCCGTGAGCCTTGAGCTTTTAGAATCGAGTATTTTAAAATATGTTTTATTTCAACTGAACCGTTTATTCAGCGATAGCATTTTTCAATGTGTGTACTTTTCCGTCTGAATTGTTTTGTGCCCTTTTTTCCGTGTGCGTTTATTTCCGTTTGCGTTTTTTTTCCGTGTACGCTTTTTTCCGTGTGCGTTTTTTTCTGTGTGCGCTTTTTTCTGTGCGCTTATTTCCGGTGCGCTTATTTCCTGTGCGCATCTTTCCGGTCACTAGCAGTGCTTAACCCTCAATAAAGCTTTGCATACGTCAATGCCAAATATTCCTCGTTACGACTATAATTGTGCACTTAGTCGTAATGTTACAACCACTCCCAAAGCTTGTATAAATTTTAAAATCTTAAGGTATAAGCAAATATTCTTCAATGATTAAACAAAAATATTTTTTGTATACGCTCCCGAAAATAGCTGCTTAACTAAAATGAGTCCTTTCAGGACTCAATAAAATATTACATAAAATCGTTATTTGGCGTTGAACAACCGCCAGAAAATCTTCGACAAAACCACTTGAAACGGCACTAGTCCAAAGAAAAAACGTGAAAAAAAAGCTGGTATTGTTTAAAGAAACCAGGATGCAAGTGAAACATTCTTCCAGATCGATACACACCAACCAATACATCAATACACGGATCAAAACACACAAATACCGCGGAGCACTTGCACGAATGATGCGCGCCATGGACGCCGCTATATTGACCTTGACTGCTCTGCCGAGTGCCTTTCACTATACCCCTACTCCGCGGCCGGCTGTAATGCGACATGCGATAGATGGACGAAAGGTGATGGAATAAGTTTCACTTTAAAAAGATAATTACATTACATTAGGCCGTAGCATGTTGCTATAGATCAAGACATAGGTTAAATGAGACAAGTACAGTAATGTATGGATAATCCGAACCTCCTATAATCCAAAATACTCTATAATCCGAACCCCTGTATTCCGTAATTCGAACTACCACTTATTTAGCTTTGTATGTGCGCACGCAAAGTCTGTTTTTATTTTGATTATGTTTAAAATGTATTTTTTTATTTTGTATTTTTTTTTTGATTTTAGTTTTATTCTCACCTGTGGTTGAAACGCGTCGTGTTTGAAATAAAAGTTTGGTGTGACGGGTTTAATCGTGTTTTTGTTTATCGTTTCCATACCAAGAAGATCTAATAAGAAGTAGTTATATTATTTATTTTGTATTTTTTTATTTTGAAATGCATAAAATTTTGTATAACCATTGAGTACATCTTTGTGATGGGAATATGTATTTGAATGGTTAAGTATAGTATCTATAAACCGAACTGTTCTGAATATAAAGTCTGTTCCATTTATTAAACAATTGTCAGTGTCAAAATCAGAAAGAATTTTCGTTGTATGACTTTAATTGAAGAAATTTATGAACTAGGTGTGTTGCTCACCTCAAATCCGGGTACGTAATGTACATCTAATTTTTCAATTTTCCCTTTCAAAGCGATATGAATTACTTTTATACCCGATTTTGACACTGACAATTGTTTATTAAATGGAACAGACTTTATACATATATCATTTATTATGAACTGTATAATCCGGAATATTTGATAATCCGAACGGGGTCTACCAAACTTCTGTTCGGATTAACCATACATTACTGTAGTCGCAAACACCCAAACGAGCAAAGACGACAAAGTCAGTAGGGAGCCCCATCGCCGCAAAACAGAAGATTAACGGAAAAACAGCTGAAATAGCCCTTGACAGCGCCGATTGTAACATCGTCAACCAAAACTATGCAAACGACGTCTGAAAAACATTACAAGTTCAACAACTGCAAAGTGCAAACCTAATTTGGCGCACAAACCCCAAGAAAATTTCAGACGTTTTTGAGGGATTTGCTTACTAAAGACATATGACCTTGCTCTATATAATCTTGTATTACACTATAACTTTGAGGAAATGCTGGCATTGAGCGACATTTTCTTTTTCTATTTCGGTATTAGAACAGTATACAGGGTGATTCTTAAATAAGATTTTATCACAGCTTTCCAAGGATAAATGGAAATAATCTGTACCCTTTTTACGATGATATTTTTTAGGGACAGAACCCCCTTCATCCGTGCCACTTACGACGTTTATGAATTGTTGCAATGATCAAGTACATTTTGATCAAATTAATACCATGGTTTCCACTATCTGTGCTAATACTATTTACGAACACATCAGTGGCGTACGCTTTACCTCAAAAATAACTTTAATAAATTTTATTTGGAGAACGGTTAAGCAAAGAATTTTTTCAATATTTTTTTCAGCATGTTCTCATTTGATACTATCAACGATAAAATTTTGTCGGTTTATTTAAGAATCACCCTGTATTAAAGTACACGTTGCAGAAGGTATCTTATTCAAGCACAAATTTGAAATTACGAAACGAGCCGCGTAGCGGCGAGTTGAGGAACAAATGAGTGCTTGAAAAACCTTCTGCAACAAGTGCTTTATACTATTTTTTCTATTTCGCCGCTTTATATCATTTTATAAATTAAAAAACGA